AATCTATACAATCATATCGAATGTATTTTCTAACCATCAATCATTGTTTATTTCATTTCAGACTAATAATTGTGAAACAAATCCCACGGTAAGTGATTAATTTCTTCAACTTCATTAAATAAAATTTGGTTCATTAATTAATTAATAAATGATAAATGCATACAGGCTTTAGGATTTCACCATTGTAATAGGGTTAAGCTAATAAAAGTTACCTCCAAAAATAGCCCAAAAAACCATATATCGATAAATGCTTGTGATGGAGCCATAGTCGACAACGTCACCCTAATCGCACCTAAGGAGAGTCCGAACACCGATGGCATCGACATTTCGGCTACAAATGGTGTTCATGTGAATGGTGGAACCATCCAAACAGGTGTGTATATATATATATATATATAACATTGTATTAATTATGGTGCCTTTTTTAATTAAAGTAATTCATTATTTGTGATTAATAATGTTTGGATTTTTTTTATATATATTTTAAGGTGACGATTGCATTGCCATCAATGGTGGTAGCTCCAACATCCACATTGATGGTCTCTTTTGTGGCTCAGGTCATGGCGTAAGGTTTGTTAATTTTATCATATCATTAAACAAGCAGTTATTTAGATAATACCGTTAGTTAATTTGATTTATGGTTTTCTTCTAGTGTTGGAAGCCTTGGAAGAAATGGCAAAACAGACATTGTACGTAATGTTACAGTTATCAACACCACGTTCACCGCCACTCAAAATGGAGCTCGAGTCAAAACCGTTCCGGTATGTATTTTGGTACTTATCTTCTCCGTTTAGTTCAAAATGTAATTAAATACATTTTTKCTTTTACCATTTATATATGYCTTAATCMTTATCTAATCCAAGTACTCTAATTTTTCAATGTCTTTCAGGGAGGGTCGGGTTTGGCGGACGATATCACATTTAGTAACATAACAATGGTGGCTGTTGAAAACCCCATCATACTCACTCAATTTTACTGCCCGCATAAACAATGCAATGACATTGTATGTCTTAGTTTTGYTATTATCTTTATACTACTATGATTATTATTATCATCATCATCATTATCATAAAGGTGTGTATCAATGGAATTCTTGTAATTTGTTTTTCTTCCTTTTTATGAACAGGCACCCGTGGTTCATGTAAGCGATGTTACCTTCAAAGACATCCATGGGACTTCTTCGAAACCTGATGCAATCAACATTTTGTGTAGCAAAAGTCCTAATAGTTGTGCAGGCATCACACTCGAGCAGATCAACATAGGAGCTGCCAATCCGGCSCAAAKAGTTGTATCAAATTGCCATAATACACAAGTGCAAACTATAGGGGTCGTGTCTCCTCCTATAGTTTGCACTCCTGCAAGCTTTATTTCAATGGACACAGTAACCCATGAGCAACCAYCTAAAGACATCATTTAATGTGCAAAAGAACATGTCGTAGCGTCCACCTTAGCTAGGATTTGTTTTTTATATTCGTATAGCATTTGTTAGTAGATAAAATAAAGTGATTAATGTGATCAGGAGATTATGCATATCGTTATCTGAATATAAACTGAGATTCTTATAATGTGTGTGTATATATATAAAACTCTAATTAAGGCCTGTATCGGGTATATCTTCTATTTTATTTGGTTGGTTCATTTTTCTTTTAAATTCAAATAAAATGATATTGTCTTGTATTGTCATCGTGTTGCAAAATATGCATTAAAGATTGTAATAACATATACAAAAYCGTTTTCAAATAAATCCTAAATACCTTCATTTATTGAACCATTTTTTAATCTTGTATAATAATTGTATACAATACACACATACACACACAAATATATATCCACATTTATATGACAGCAATAAATATTTTTAAAGTTCAAATATGCAACATAATTAATAACTTGTTATTAAAATGATTTTCTTTCATACTGTTGTTGTTTATAACGAATATCGTCTACAAATTCTCTTTTTTTTTTAAATTACATTCATATGTATCTCTTTTAAACCTTTAATTTCAAAAACCGTTATCGATGAAACCATAAACAATTCCACTAATCCGGGTTGTTGTTATTAATTTTTATATCCAATAACTAAATTAAATTTTATTTTATATTATGATAATTATTTTATGATTGTAACAACCCACAATCTCATACATAATTTACATATAGCGAACCATATTAGGTTTACATATAAGCTCTCGTCTTATAAAACGGTACAACTGAGAAAAGCCACTACAAACTTTTTACTAAAAACATATAACCTTATACGAAAATTTATGTAAGCAACTCCTCTAAATAAACCTCCTTGCATGATTCAAATCACAATCCACATAACATGATGACAACCCGAAACATCAATCTAACCATCGTGTAACTACATAAAGTTACCATTCTAGGTTAAAGCATCATAGCATTATTTAAACCCAATGATGACATCTTCTCATCCTATTATTAAATCACGATTTAATGAAACCATCCCCTTTTATATATATATATATATATATATATATAGGGGTTTAATCAAATGAAAACTGAGTTGTTTGTGATAACCGTGAGATCCAATCTCAACCAAACATTCTAATAATCAATGGTTAAAATTGAAAGGAATCTTAATTAATGTAATTCCAAAAATAAG